ACACCCAAGCAATGAGTCCTGTGGCATATTAAGTTTCCTGCATGAACAATTTTTGTGTTTCCACCCCCCACCCCATTGCGGGTCTTTGTCGCATAGTGGGGCCTTGGCAGGTTCAGAGGTACAAGTGGCCCCTCTACCAACCTGTACACGAGTCTGGTAGCTCCCAAGAGCTGTCGAGGCCAGTTAAGGCTGCTTCCGGGGAAAACTGGCGTTCTTTACTAGTGCAACACCAACCCTGTGCTCAGCATGACCCAATAGTTACAGTCCCTGCCATGAATATCTTCAATCTCAGCTAGGAAGTGGAGGAGCTGGGGTTGCATCAGGAAGCCCCGTTGGGTTATAATTTGGTGGTGGCGTGTTGACGTCTAGTGAGCATCATGGAAGAAGAAGGGTGGAGGTTGGGTGAGCTCTAACAGGGACGTTCTGTGCGGGGACAGCCCGGAGAAAGGAGCGGAGACGGGAGCGGGAGAAGGACACAAACAGACACCGGAGGTGGGGGTGTTGGCAGAGCAGTGGTGGCGGGCAGCAGGAGCTTTGTCTGATGTGATCTCGGGAGCAGGGCAAGCTTCGTTGTGTGGATTGTCCCGGAGGGGTAACTCTTGTGCAGAGGATGGTGCCCATTCCCGGATTAGTTCCTTGTCTACACTCGCACGGCTTTGCTGGGTCGAGTCACACCAGTGTAGCTACACCAGCAAACCCTACTAGCGGAGACGCAGTTTATTCCAGAAAAGAGTTCTCTTGTCATTATAGCTTATACCATTTCCCCAGACACAATAAGCGATCCCAGCAGAAGGTCTTTGTCCACTAGTGCTGCACCTACACTAGAGACTTGGCCAGCTAGGGTGGTGGGGTTTTTTCACTTCTAACCAATTTAGCTATGGCATAGACCTGCATCATGCCACATATCCGTGGGCAGCTGTTCTGCAAATACAGCAAAGGCCTTTGGCGAGGACGCTGGGGCAAAGTCAAGGGCCCAGCACGCGCTCCATACTCCTAGGAGGACAGCAGCTGGCTTTCTGCTGGGACACTCAGGAGCATTTCCATTCACAGTGGAGTCACCAGCCTCAAAGGGTTTCAGCCGGAGCTGCCTTTACTCACGCCGCCACGCGCGAAGTGAGAAATGCACCGTGACTTTTATCCAGAATGGTCAAGTGTTTCCAGTTGTCCTTCTCTGCTGGAACTCAGGGAAGGCGGACAGGACAAAGGGAGTGGAGGGATAGCTCAGTGGTTTGAGCATTGGCCTGCTAAACCCAGGGTTGTGAGTTAAATCCTTGAGGGGGCCATTTAGGGATCGGGGGCAAAAATTGGGGTTTGGTCCTGCTTTGAGCAGGGGGTTGGACTAGATGGTCTCCTGAGGCCCCTTCCAACCCTGATAGTCTATGAGTGAGCTTAAGTGGTTAGAACAGAGGACTGGGAGACAGGACTCCCGTGTTTCCTTTCTTGGCCTGTGAACTTGGGTCAAGTCACTTTAACCGCTCTGGGCCTCAGTTTCCCCATCGGCGAAACTGAGGCTCTTGGCCAAAGAGCACACAATGGAGATGAAATCAGCGTTTGGTGTAAGTGAGTCATTGGTGCAAAGACTCACTGGGATGGGCCAAGTGCATCCTGTGTGTCAGTCTGCGGGGCTGAACAGAGTCACATTAGCAGTAAATGTTCCCTGGTAACACTGCACAGTCCAAAAGTCTGCTGGGTATTTTCCCTGAGAGGCCTTAAAACACGGAAATGCTCATCCTGATGCCGGGGATGCGGCATCCGTGCTGACACTTAACCCAGCAAATTAGCAGAGGGCTCAGTCTGTGGTGCTAATAATTACCAGGAGTTATTAATACCACCCAGGCTCACAGTCACTGCTGATCTTTCCCAGTCACCTTGGCCCGTACTCATGTAAACAGCTGTCACGATGGCCCCGTCAGCCCGGCCTCTGGCATGCAGCGCAATGGAGAGGGGACGAGCAACTGCATCTTTCTAAGCAGCTGGATGACACAGTAACCCAGGTCTGGACACAAAAGCCAGCCCCAAGCTGCGGGGGAGAGGGGGCTTGGCAGCCATCCAGGGACCTGTGCAAAGGAGTTCCAGCCTGGGAAGGGAGCGAAGCTGCCCCGGTCGGCAGGACGGGCTGCTCTCTTTTAGGGGTGGCTCTGGCACCTAGAATCATAGAATCATAGAATATAAGGGTTGGAAGGGACCCCAGAAGGTCATCTAGTCCAACCCCCTGCTCGAAGCAGGACCAATTCCCAGTTAAATCATCCCAGCCAGGGCTTTGTCAAGCCTGACCTTAAAAACCTCTAAGGAAGGAGATTCTACCACCTCCCTAGGTAACGCATTCCAGTGTTTCACCACCCTCTTAGTGAAAAAGTTTTTTCTAATATCCAATCTAAACCTCCCCCACTGCAGCTTGAGACCATTACTCCTCGTTCTGTCATCTGCTACCATTGAGAACAGTCTAGAGCCATCCTCTTTGGAACCCCCTTTCAGGTAGTTGAAAGCAGCTATCAAATCCCCCCTCATTCTTCTCTTCTGCAGGCTAAACAATCCCAGCTCCCTCAGCCTCTCCTCATAACTCATGTGTTCCAGACCCCTAATCATTTTTGTTGCTCTTCGCTGGACTCTCTCCAATTTATCCACATCCTTCTTGAAGTGTGGGGCCCAAAACTGGACACAGTACTCCAGATGAGGCCTCACCAATGTCGAATAGAGGGGAACGATCACGTCCCTCGATCTGCTCGCTATGCCCCTACTTATACATCCCAAAATGCCATTGGCCTTCTTGGCAACAAGGGCACACTGCTGACTCATATCCAGCTTCTCGTCCACTGTCACCCCTAGGTCCTTTTCCGCAGAACTGCTGCCTAGCCATTCGGTCCCTAGTCTGTAGCTGTGCATTGGGTTCTTCCGTCCTAAGTGCAGGACCCTGCACTTATCCTTATTGAACCTCATCAGATTTCTTTTGGCCCAATCCTCCAATTTGTCTAGGTCCTTCTGTATCCTATCCCTCCCCTCCAGCGTATCTGCCACTCCTCCCAGTTTAGTATCATCCTCAAATTTGCTGAGAGTGCAATCCACACCATCCTCCAGATCATTTATGAAGATATTGAACAATATTGAACCTGTTGGGAGATGCAGCAGAGCGTTGCTGTGATTGAACGGAGCTAGAATGACACATGTCTGTCCCCAGCTAGACTGGACGGAGCCCTCCCCCAGCCGGCAGCCCCTGCAGCATGAGGCTCGCTTTGATGAGAGATTTCAGCTAGTGGACCCAAGCAGTTTTGTAGCCTCTGGCACCGTCCACTGCCTTTGCAAGGTAGTCCAGAGACGGCCCAGGAAGCAGAATCCTCTCTGCACAGATATCACCCCCGCTCTCCTGCCACCGAGCTCTGCTACAGTCCCTGGTCGAAGGCTTCCTGAGCCATTCTGCTGGCTGCTAAGCCTGGCCCTGGAGCACTTTGGACTGTGGTCCCTGAAACTGAGCAGGGCCAGGGCTGGCCGGCAGAACCAGTGGGGAAAATCAACAAACCCGCTTTCTGCCGGAAACCGCGGCTCGGTCAAACCCGAAACCCATCAGACGTTGCGTCGATTTCAGTGACATTTCAATTCAGATAAAAACTGGGGAAAGGCGCATTCGGACAGGGTCCAAACAGGCCGGTTCGAATGAACCATTTCAATGGCTCGGTTTGGAACGACTCTTGGTTCCGTTTTTTATTTTGTGCTGTATCACATACGGTGAAACATCAAAAGTCCAAATCAACACAAAACATTTGATTTTTTATTTTTTTTGGTCAAAACAAAACATTTTGATTAACCCGATTTCCCCCTCCTCCAGCAAGCTCCTCCGGCCAGAGCTTGGCTGGGAGACCTCCAAGGAAAACCCACGATGCAAGAGTTCTAGGGATTTATTTTTTGGTTGCTCTTTCCGCAGAACAGGTGGTGAAGTATGTCCCTGCATAGCGCTGCTGGGCGGGCCACTCCAGGTCCCTTGTGCTTGTTAAAAATCCTACTGGATTTGTCCCAGCACTGACACAAGTATCTTAGACAAATTCCATTTTGGGTGATTCCGTTCTGCCTCCTCTGTGCTTCCTACTGGATATGGCATCCTTCACTTCCTTCTAGTGTTACTTTGTGCATTTATACACTGCTGTGCCCCACTCCAGAGGCAGCTGCATTTCGGTGGTTCCTGTATGTGTCATTTGAAAAGTGATTTGGGAGGATATCTCTGTTATTAAAGCCCAATGCACAAATCAATCCAAACTTCTGAGCCATTCAATTCAGAACTCAATTTCAGCGTGTAACACCCCGGTGGTAATTCAGCAGCTACTCTTCTTTTCAAAGGGGCACGTTTGAGGACATAGGGAAAATAATTGGCTGTCCCATGGTTTGTGATGTGCTTGTCTCTTCCAATTGCCAGTGTTTACTTTTAGGCAGATTATGGGCTTCTCTCTGAGGAGGAAGAATCAGCTTTCATTGATGGTGTTTTGTTTTGCTTTGAATTGTTTTCCATGAATTACAGCGTATTGAAAACTGACCTTCTCCTTCAGAGCATCGTTGTGGGTCCACACCCCGTTGTGCTTGGCACTGTACAGATATGCCGTATGAGAGCATCCCGTCCTCAAAGAGCTTTCAGGTGAAACAGGCAAGACACAAGGGGAGAAGGGCTAAGCCCATTGAAGCCAATGGGAGTTTTGCCACTGATGACAGTGGGTCAGGATTTCCCGCAACAGCTGGATGAGACCAAAAAGGCCTTGGCAGGGGCGGAGTAGGATGGGGTAGCAAAATATAATAGGATGCTTTATCCCAGGCCAGCCGTGAGTACCCTTGTTGTCTCCAGTGATTGCCGTGCGTATCTTAGGAGAACCTATTCTCAAGCATGAGGATTGGTCAGTTTCAGCCTCAGTGTGGGATCCCTCCAGGCAGTGAAGGGTTTTGCTCTGGGGCAGACATTTCCCCCCAGCTTGTCTGTACCTTTGGCCTATGGGAGTGACGTTCTTCCTCCGCTCCCCTTCCAGATGCAGCAGCTGTAGACATGGACCCGTTTGATGGGCAGACGTTGGCTGAGGCACTGAAGTGGTACCTCCACGATCTCCCGTGCCCTGTGATCCACCCAGCAATATACAGCGAATTAATCTACACTGCTCAAGGTAATCACCCCATTTGCTTTGCCTGGCTGCTTTATGGGCGGTGGGGTTCTTCGAGCTTCATCATGGGAAGGCTTGGTAAACGGGCCATCACTGCATCTCGTGATCAGTCGCTGGTGCTACTGAATATACCTCGATCTGGAGTGAGTGGTGGGGTCCACATCTGGATCCAGACTGGGCTTAGGTTGAAGGGCTGCAGTTCAGGTGTGTGGTTAAGCCAGAGCTAGGGCTTGAATCAGTATCCAATTAGACGGTGTCAGACTTCCTCTAGCTTCTCTCGCGGCGTGTGGATTTCAGGCAAGCGTGGGGGAAATCTCATGAGATCAGTTGTTCCCCTGAGAATTCCACTATCCTCCACTGCATCTAATGTCAGTCCCTCTAGTTTAGGATCTCCCCTGATCCAGAAGAGTTAGGGGTGGGTTTGGATCTGGCGGTTCCCTGAAATGTATAGCAGATTCCATCCATGGAGAAAGGGCAGCAATGCGTCTCCAGGTAATGCTCTTCAGGGAGAATTTCCTTCTCAGGTTTCCTTCTCTCTCCTATGCTTGAGAAAAACACAGAGATGTGTTTTAATGACCCCAAGAGGTTGGGATAAAGGCTTAATGTCTCGTCCCAAGCACAGCGGCACCCCCTCCCATCCCACTGGGCTAATGGATCAGGAAAGATGCCCTCACTGAATCACCCTTGCTTCTACCCTGTGGGCATCTCACAGTTCTTTAGAGGTCTCCCTCTAAAGAGTCTAATAAACCCAGCTGATTGAAGTCAGTCTTGCTTAGCGTGTGTTAGCTGAGAAGGATCTGAGATGAGGTGCTGTGGCTGCAGGGCAGGCTGCATTGCCAGGGTTTCCGTCCCAGTAAATTGTCCCGATATAATCCATCCTCAGCAGTAGAGTTGAGAGGCCCTATCTGAGATCAGGCCCCCCTTGGGCTAGGCATTGCACATACGCAGAGTGCATGTATCGAGAGCCATGGTAGACAGTCCCTGCCCTGGAGAGGTTATAATCGAAAGAGACGAGACAGACAAATGGTGACCAGAAGGGAGCAGTAGTATCCCCGTTTCAAAGGAAGTTCAGGGAAACCAAGTGACTTGCCCAGGGTTCACCCTGGAAAAGAAAGGGATTGAACCCCAACCACCCGACTCCCATTCGCTTTCCCGTTCCCAGTTGCTGCTTTCATCCTCTGGCCAATCCAGTTTACTTGAGCCGTGGCTTCCTGTTAGCCTACACACCGAAGAGGCTGAATCTCAAAATGAGCAGAACACATTGCTTCCCCCATCCTCCCTTCCTAACAGGCATCATCAGGCTTTGTCCCTGTCTCCCAGTCCATAATAATCTCTTCAAGCGGCTATTCGTAATGATCCAACTGCCGGGGATGGATGGAGCGCATGGAAACTCCCACCTCAAGTGTTAGATCAAGGTCAAGAAATCGATTGCCATTAAAAGCGACATCCCCACCGCCCCTCCCTGCCTCATCCATCATTTGTCACGCCGCCGGCGACCTCTCGACCCGCTGGCATGGAAGAGCCTTTAGGAAAGCACACACCTCCCCGGAGCCCGTAGTCCCTGCTGTATCCATCACTGGGATGACATCGGGGGATGGACGCAATTGGCAGTGGCCTGCTGGTAAAACATTAAATAGCCACGGAGAGCCCTTCACCCGAAGAAGCATCGGTTTCTCTTTAGATTCGTTCTTCAGTCCTGGGTGGATGCCCTTCCTTATTGCAGCCAGTCTGTGAAAGAGAATAGACTCTAAGCCAGGTGCAAAGCAGCTACTTGCTATTGGCCTAGCTGCTTAGTTACATGTATCGTTGAGATTTAGAGGTAATAATGGGCCAAATCACCCCTGCTGTCAGTGGAGTTACCCCAGGGATGACTGTGGTTCACCACTAGCCTTTTGTCCATGGGGCCGGACGAGTTGCATCCGAGAGTGCTGAAGGAATTGGCGGCTGTGATTGCAGAGCCATTGGCCATTAACTTTGAAAACTCGTGGCGAACCGGGGAAGTCCCGGATGACTGGAAAAAGGCTAATGTAGTGCCAATCTTTAAAAAAGGGAAGAAGGAGGATCCTGGGAACTACAGGCCAGTCAGCCTCACCTCAGTCCCTGGAAAAATCATGGAGCAGGTCCTCAAAGAATCAATCCTGAAGCACTTGCATGAGAGGAAAGTGATCAGGAACAGCCAGCATGGATTCACCAAGGGAAGGTCATGCCTGACTAATCTAATCGCCTTTTATGATGAGATTACTGGTTCTGTGGATGAAGGGAAAGCAGTGGATGTATTGTTTCTTGACTTTAGCAAAGCTTTTGACAAGGTCTCCCACAGTATTCTTGTCAGCAAGTTAAGGAAGTATGGGCTGGATGAATGCACTACAAGGTGGGTAGAAAGCTGGCTAGATTGTCGGGCTCAACGGGTAGTGATCAATGGCTCCATGTCTAGTTGGCAGCCAGTATTAAGTGGAGTGCCCCAAGGGTTGGTCCTCAGGCCGGTTTTGTTCAATATCTTCATAAATGATCTGGAGGATGGTGTGGATTGCACTCTCAGCAAATTTGCGGATGATACTAAACTGGGAGGAGTGGTAGATACGCTGGAGGGGAGGGATAGGATACAGAAGGACCTAGACAAATTGGAGGATTGGGCCAAAAGAAATCTGATGAGGTTCAATAAGGATAAGTGCAGGGTCCTGCACTTAGGACGGAAGAACCCAATGCACAGCTACAGACTAGGGACCGAATGGCTAGGCAGCAGTTCTGCGGAAAAGGACCTAGGGGTGACAGTGGACGAGAAGCTGGATATGAGTCAGCAGTGTGCCCTTGTTGCCAAGAAGGCCAATGGCATTTTGGGATGTATAAGTAGGGGCATAGCGAGCAGATCGAGGGACATGATCGTTCCCCTCTATTCGACATTGGTGAGGCCTCATCTGGAGTACTGTGTCCAGTTTTGGGCCCCACACTACAAGAAGGATGTGGATAAATTGGAGAGAGTCCAGCGAAGGGCAACAAAAACAATTAGGGGTCTGGAACACATGACTTATGAGGAGAGGCTGAGGGAGCTGGGATTGTTTAGCCTGCAGAAGAGAAGAATGAGGGGGGATTTGATAGCTGCTTTCAACTACCTGAAAGGGGGTTCCAAAGAGGATGGCTCTAGACTGTTCTCAATGGTAGCAGATGACAGAACGAGGAGTAATGGTCTCAAGTTGCAGTGGGGAGGTTTAGATTGGATATTAGGAAAAACTTTTTCACTAAGAGGGTGGTGAAACACTGGAATGCGTTACCTAGGGAGGTGGTAGAATCCCCTTCCTTAGAAGTTTTTAAGGTCAGGCTTGACAAAGCCCTGGCTGGGATGATTTAACTGGGAATTGGTCCTGCTTCAAGGAGGGGGTTGGACTAGATGACCTTCTGGGGTCCCTTCCAACCCTGATATTCTATGATTCTATGATTCTATGTCCCAAAGGAGCCCAGAGTGCAATACCAACAGAGATCAACACATTACATCTCTGGATCACTTCGCACACGGCTGAAATGCAGCCACCTCTGGGGTGGGACAGCAGGCAGGCAGAATGCACTCCAGTTTAGGGCAGGAAGCAAACACTGCGCAGCCCTTTAGGAAAGGGCAGTGACAAAACAAGCACCAATCCAAACCACTGCCATGATTTTGTCTTGTTTCCCTTCTCCGTTGCATCGTCTGTTGCCCAAGGGAGGCCCCAGTGCTGCAAACCCTCCCTCCTGGGACTAGTTCCGTTCAAGTCAGGCGTACAGGCTATTCGCGTAAGGAAGGTGTTTTCGGAATCAGGGCCTCCGACTGTAAACTCGGCAAGGCAGCGACTGAGTGGCCAACCGGCGGCTGGTGTCAGCTGTCGTAGCTCCATTAAAGTCTAGCGAGCTAGGAGAGTTGACCCCAGCTCCAGATCTGTGCCTTTACTGCTGAAAAGCAGCAAGAGATCGGCACTAAGAACAGAAATGATCGCTCTAAAACTAACCGGCACAAACCACGCCCGGCCTGCACCACCCAAGGCCTCATGGGGACGCTTCCAGTAGGATTTTCAGCAGGGTTTCTTTGTTTCCTTTTTAATCTCAATTGAAAAGAAAGGGTTAAAGGAACCTGAAAGCTTATTGAGGAATCAGGCGCATATGGTATCTCCCCCGCCCGTCATCCACCATCCCTGTCCCCAACACACAGCTCCCTCCGAAACAGCCACATGGACACCAACGACTTTAGCATTACTAACAATTGCAGCCGCTGCAGATGTGCTCCGTCCGGCAGCTTTTCGCAGACATTCAGTAAATGCAAGGGGGCCGACGGTACTGAGTCGACAGGTCAGTTGTTTGGCTGTATGACGGTATGGGGCTAGGTTGGCTAGCTGAGAACTCTGAGTCTCATGGGTCAATCGAGCCGTCAAGCTGAGAACACGGGAGAGGCCCCCATCAGATGCAGAGCAAAGAGGAAACCTGGTGACGGGGGGAAACTGGGCCTTCCGCTGATGACCCAACTTGTTGCAGAGCGCCCTGTGTGTTGTCCCTGCCTCTGGCTCGATCCTGGGCTCTGGTGGATGTAGTGTGGAAGGGGTGGGGTCTTGGGTCAGGCCAAAACCAGGACAGACCATGATGTTCAGCTCTGAATCCGAGCTCCCTCAGAGGCAGGGAGATTTTCAGACCTGCCGAATCAGGTGGGTCATTCCCCAGGAAGGCTTGGGCTCCTCAAACTTTAGGATATCCTGTCCTTCCACGGGACTAGCCACAAACTCCAGTGCAGAGAATCGCAGGCCCCCTGCCAGCTGCTGGAGTGTCTCGGGTGGGCACTGTGCTTCTCAGAGGGACAGGACATGTTCCCCGCTGGCTCAGGGGCTGCTGATGGAGAGGGGGGCATTGCCCTTTCTGGGATATCCAGCACCAGCAGGGGTGCTAGGCCCACTCACTCCTTGCACTCCGGGGGGTGCGAATATACCAGGCCTGCAACTGAGTCCTCAAACAGACACCATAGTCGAGGATGGGGATTGAACCCAGGGACT